AAAATTTTATATAAGAACGAATCTCCGGCAAACATACTAGTTCTTGATCGCAAACAGAGAGACAAATCCCCAAGAATTCAGAGGTCCGACAAGAACCAGAATCAGACAAATTCCAATAAAATAAACCGTTAAAGATGGAAGATCAAAGGTCCGACAAGAGCAAAACTCAGAGACACACATAAAGGTTCAGAAAGCGAACCCATAGGGAAGAATAGAAATATCGAAAAATCAGAAAGATGTCAGAAAAAAGAGAAGGAAAATTTTAAATAAGAACAAATCTCCGGCAAACATACTATTTCTTGATCTTAAACAGAGAGACAAATCCCCGAGAATTCAGAGGTCCGACAAGAACGAGAATCAGACAAATCCCAATAAAATAATCAGTAAAAGATTGAAGATCAAAGGTCCGATAAGAGCAAGACTCGAGACACGCACACACGATTTCCCGATCTTAAACAAGAAGGCAAATCCCCACTTCAAGAATTCAGATAGATCACAAACCCCAAAAGAATTTGAACCTAAGAGAGGAGGAGATCAAGATCGAGGTTTCTTGATCGTTGGTTACCTCGACGGCGAGAGAAGACGGCTTAACGAGGCGACAGTGAGGGCGCGGGGGCTGGAGAGGAGGAGACGAGGGAAGGGGAAGAAGTATAAATAGGGGCGGGAGAGGCGGAGTTGGAGGGATCTGAACGTGCGGGTTTCGCGGTGGGGAGGGCCAGCGATCCGCTAATGGGAGCGTCCGCTGCGCAACGCCGCAGTCCGCTTCAACGGAACATGGGAACGACGAGGGCGCTGAACGAAGGTGAAGAGCTCACCAAGTGCCGGTCGTGTCGTGTGCGTAGTCGGATGCCACGTAAGAGCTCCGAACTAATTAATTATGTGATTGAAATTGGGTCAGATGTCAAACCGATGAAAGCCTTGATGGATCAATTAATTAGGTGATTGAAGGTTCTGAGTTTGTTGTAAACGCTTAGTGCACAAATTATGTAATCTTTGAATCTTCTAAAATGAAATTGATTGAAACGTATGTTGAATTATTTATCTAAAAAGAAACAAATATACGAATAAAATGAAGAAATTTGAGTTTCTTTTTTTTTGTTAACATTCTTAATGACAAAATCACCTTCAATCAATTACTGCCGCAAATAAAATGAAGAAATTTTTGGGAATATTTGAAGCTATTACATTTGAAAAGAGAAATATGGGGAAATACTTTGGAAATCAGAGCAGCAGCACTAATCGTAGAGAAACAGGGAAGTCGCAAATGTACTAAAAAGGACTCACTTTCGCACGCCTTGCATTAACAACACAGGTGGGAACTGGGTACCTCTCTGCATGTCGAACAGGATCATACCTGGAAGGGAAGTAGTTCAACTGAAAGCAACAATCACATGAAACAGTTGGACAGAATACCTTTCGAGGAAGTAGAAGAAACTTGGACTACCTCCTCATCCCTGTGCATGAAGTTCATGAATCCATCATGGTGGCCAGAAGGCATGAGGCCAAAACTCCAGTCTGAAGAAGCTTTTCATCTGAATCATGGACTTCAGGCACTGTAATTGCTGGACAGAAGGCAAGCTGCTCATTTACAGAACCCCAAAAAGAATCATCAGCAACGACTCGAACGATCCAAACCTTCCGCGATACCCAATAAAGAAGGCAGATCAATGAGAACAGGTGCACGGATTAAACAAATCGGTAAAAGATCAGAACCAAAACAATGAACTCGAACCATTCGATTTACAGCGAAAGATTGAGAGAAAAAAAACCAGGGAGACCAAAGATTCGACGATCATTCGACTTCCTTAGTTTGGGGAATAAAAGAAGAATAGAATATTAGCTTTGATCCCTCATGGGTGGACGGAGTTGATACCCTACCTTGTAAGGATCCATCGCAATGCCTAGTGGTTGCTTCCCTAGGACACGAACGAGGAGGAGAGACGAACCCCGGTGTTGTCGATCGCCAGCTTCCCAAACGGGGCAGGCGAGTTCGTTAAATATGGTATCTCGAGTCACTCTGGGTCGAATCGAGCATGGGTTGGTGATTTGCGTGTCCTCGGATCGGATTCAGGTTTCAGGACAAATCTGGCGGGGCCCACGCTTAAAATCTGGTCGATGAGCAGTAAGCCCACTGGCACGTGTCAGTTTATAGTGGGATATGGTAGCCGTCTTCTGTGCATGAATGCCAGGATCGGATTTGCCTGGTTTCATATACTTTGTTCGAGTCCCGTGCGTTGGGTCGGACCGCGTGTCATTTGGACGCGTTTCGCTTGATAGTGGGCTCTTGCTGCCGTATTTTGTGTTGACTCTCGCGTACTGGATCAGCTGTATTCGCTTTGCGTTGAATTGGATGTGGGATTGGTGAGTTGTGTCGGGTAGGGTTCAGGATTTAACTTAAACAAGTGGGAGCATGAAATGAAAGGAGTCGATGAGGTAATCCATGGCATCACTCGACGTGGATGGAACCAAATATGGCAAAGTAATTACGTCCGTTGGATGTGCCATCTGTTGGTGATGCGATGATGATCATGGTGGTTTTAGCTCTTGGTTTCAAGTGCTTTTGAGAGAGGTTGTTTGATTAGGTAATATGCTGTTTTTAAGTGTACTTAAAGTCGAGATAAATATATTAGGCTAATTATAGATTAATTTATATAATTAATTATTTTTAGCATCAATCTATGTACTTTTGAAAATTATAATCAATTCCTACAAGTGAAATATTTAATCTTATTTATTTTATTCTATTGATAAAAATATCATAGAGTTTGCTACTGCGCACATGTTGACTTCGTCTTACTTTGATTTTTCACTGAGCACATGTGGTATTTTCATCAATAGAATCGATGGTGTGAGGAAAAATAAGATTAAATATTTTATTTTTATAAGTATAAAGATCCTAATGTAATTTTTGAAAATACAAATATTAGGATGGAGATAATTACAGGAGTAGTTTATAATTAACTTAAATATATTATAATAGATATGTTAAATTATTAAATATGAATATATAAAATAGATTAAAAAAAATAAAAATGAGATAGAATCATATAAAATAGCATGAATATATTTTTCATGTATTTATGTATATATATTATGATGAGTTCATGTATTTATGTATATACATTATGATGTGACTTGATAACACAACCAATATCTTTTGAATATGCAAGAGAATTTTATTGAATAATACAAAATAAATTCTTAGTGTCGCGATTCACGATATCTAAAATACTTATGTTTGAATTAACTATAATACTTAAGTGTTTGAAATGGAATCATTACTCTAGAATAATTAAAATATCTAAAATACTTATTCTCTTCCCCTCTCAACATGGGATCAAGTTTAAGATAATAACATTTCAATCAAACTGAATTAACAACAAAACAGGAAGAAGAAACTTAGAATTTTTCTCCTACTCATTTCAAAAATGCATCAACTCTAGCAAAATTTGCAAGAGAATGAGCTTCTCCTGAGCACATTCTAATTGCAATGCAGTGGGCGTAAGATGACATTGTCAGATCTGAAAGAAGCATCACATTCCAATTGCACTCCACTGTTTGGCTGCAGCCATTGGGAGGGAAAGTTGTCCACTGTGCAGGGAACACAGGCTCCTCCTAACACTTCCGAGTCCCAAACCTTTTACTTTCCCTGGTCAGCTTTATATTCTGGTAATAAGATCTTTTATTGGTGCCTCTTCATTTAGTATGAAGAGGTCTTCCCGTTCTCTTCCGCTTTATATATATATATATATATATATATATATATATATAATATTATTTGAGTGAAATTCTAAGAAAAAGCCTTTTCATTTTGAGATTTTGCATTGGATTGGTCGGTCCGCAAAATGAATCGATCCATAGTTTTAGTTTTACAGTATTTTTTTTATAGATTTATGATATTTTTTAGAGAGGTCATAAAGGATATGTAATATAAATTTCAAGTTTTTACATATATTATTAATCATAAACTAATTATATATTATTCTTATAATTAGTTATCTTTAACGTATCGATTCCTTTTCAAAAGTTACTTTGAAATTATTATATTTACGAAAGTGAAACATTTAACTCGTTACTTCAATAAAACTTATTTTTACCCCTATGATATTATCTTTTTAACTTTGTACGAAGATATCAATATTTTACTTTCGTAAATATAAAGATCTCAATATAATTTTTAAAAATAAAAAAAATTAATACGTAAATTAAGTTTGTAATATATTTTGAGATTTTGTTTTCTGATTAAAATATTATTGTAAAGGTTTTAAAAACACTATAGTTATATTTAAAAAATATTATAATATTATTTAAAACTAATATAGTAGTGAAAAATATTATAGATGCTTAATTATCACTATTATTCATGCTTAGTGCAAAATTAACCTAAATATTCTAAACATTTCAAGGATAGAAAGGTAAAAACAACTTTGAAGTTATGATTACCAGTTTGACATGAACAGTTGCTCTGCCCAATGAATTCAAATCACCATATTGGCCCCACAACTTTGTGGAACTTTTCTCATAAAAAAAAATTGTTTTATTTATTTGATGAATTTAAGTCAACAATAACAGTTTCATCTGATCCTGAAATGAATCTTTTTTGGATTTGTGATAATTAAAAATATTATTTTTGTTCTTTTTGGGATGCGTGAAACAATTTGATATGCACAGTTGAACTGCAGCTTTCCGACACGCTCCTTGGACGACCGGGACAGGGCATCAGACGGCTGTCAGTGAACGGTAAACATCGATTACCCTCTGGGACCACCGAGCCACGGCCGTCTGATGGACCCCCGAATTCCCCTCACGGAAAACCATTAAAGAAGGAAACGCCGAACCGTTGCGTGCGAACCCATGAGAATTCGAAACGCAACTAACCGTTGGAAGGTCGAGTGCGGTGTATCCGTCCAGATGTGATCTGACGGCTTTGATCTACCGGCCGTTGGCTTTGATCGCCACTGGGGGAAGCATATCCGGACATCGGCCCATTCTTCACGTCCAAAGGTTCCTTCTTTTCCCCCTCGACCCTCTCCTTTTTGTTCTCTTCCAAACCCCATCGAGGAGAGAGAGAGAGAGAGAGCGAGTTGTCGAGAGCGGGATCGTTAGGTCGGCATCGATCTGCCCGATCCACGGGGGACGCAGCTTGGTTCAAGCCCTCGCCCCCCAATTGGAACTCACGGCGAGCTGAGGGCTGGGACCTCGGAGTCGCAGATTCTACTCTGTCGATCGCAGCGAGGAGGGGAATTTGGAAGGTTCCCATTCGTTTCTTGGTGATGGTTTTGTTGGTTCTTGGCGGATCGATCCGTGAATCTTCGAGCTGTCTTGGTTTCTTGGTTTATCTTGTAGTTTCTTTTGGTTTCCAGGTGAGGGAAATGGATAGAGTTGACGAGAACAGCCGGGGCATGATGAAACCAGCGACTTTCCGAGGTTCTTGCTAGAATTCACTTCAAGATTCTGATGTTTGGATTCGAAATCTCAGCTGAAGATGACTCAATTCCTCCTTCTCCTTTTGCCGTCACAGATATGGGCGATCGAAGAGCGTTGAAGGATATAAGGAATTTGGTGGGAGCGCCACCGTATCCTTGTGCGATCAACAAGAGGGGATTGACAGAGTAATGCATAAAAAATCGATCTTGTCTTCGACTGATTGTTTTCTCCTTCCGATCTAATTTCTCTTGCACTTTTTCGATTCCACAGAAAGAGTAATTTGGATGATAAGAACCCATCGTTCGTGGCTCGACGGCCAGTGACAAGGTTGGTCTGAGACCGAGTTAATTTTTCTTTCCCATCCTCTTATGTTCCCTTGTCTGGCTTTAACCGGCTGATGTGTTCGTTTCCTAGAAAATTTGCGGCTACATTGGCAAGCAAACCACAAGCTTATCGCCAGGTAATTTCGCGCGATTAAATGATCAAGAAATGTACTATTGTTACTCTACAGAGATGCTTAATTTTGTTTGTGGGACAGCATGAGCAAGTGGGAAACGAGAGCCAGCACGAGATGTTGCCACCATCTGTATCAAGTTCAACTGCTTTGGATAGTTCTATTGCCATCGATGTGGATAATTGTAGCTTAAGTGATGACATAGAGTTGCCCACGGTAGAAGAGATGGAAGAAATGGTCTGTCCCAAACTGCTTAGCGTCTTTTGATGGGAAGAATTTTAAGTTCATGCAATTGCTATAAATGTACTTCATTTATGAGCCATTTTAATTGCAATTAATGTTGTAGGATAACTGCGATCTCAAGGAGGTCGAAATGGAGGATATCGTTGCTGAGACTGTTCCGGATATCGATAGCTGTGATTCAAATAACACACTTGCAGTGGTTGAATATGTAGAAGAGATATACAACTTCTATAGACAAACCGAGGTGAACTTTGACCCCCCAGTAATATGAAAGTTACTTGCAGTGATTTATTTGAAACAACGCGTTGATCGATCTGGGATTAAGACTCTAAATGCTAATTATTCTCGCTTGAAAAAAGCTACTAATCGAATCATAATTCTTTTGCTGACATGATTGCCATTACCTGACATGCAATGAATGCATTCCTATACAGGTTACAGGTTGTGCGAGTCCCCAGTACATGTCCCACCAATTTGACATCAATGAAAAAATGAGAGCTATTCTCATCGACTGGCTTATAGAGGTGAAACATGACATTGAATATATACTATATCCTCAAGAATCATTATGTCATTGGTCACTAATTTTATATACTCCATGATTATTCCTGAAACTTTCCTCCACAGGTGCACTACAAATTTGAGCTGATGGAGGAGACTCTCTTTCTAACTGTAAATATAATAGATCGGTTTTTAGCGAGACAAACTGTGGTAAGAAAGAAGCTTCAATTGGTGGGAGTTACAGCTATGCTTCTTGCTTGCAAGTACGAGGAAGTCTCTGTCCCCGTGGTAGAGGATCTAGTGCTCATCTCTGACCGAGCTTACACGAGGGATGAAATACTTGATATGGTAATAGTCTTTTTCATGCTTGTGTAGTCATGGTAGGCTGGCTGCCATAAATAAAACTCTGGAATAGCTGAACCATTGTTTTTTATTTAACTTTTGCGAGCAGGAAAGGCTGATCCTCAATACATTGCAATTCAATATGTCTGTGCCAACTCCTTACGTTTTCATGAGAAGGTTTCTCAAGGCAGCCGACTCTGACAGAAAGGTAAAGACTTTCTTTTGTTTGGGTGTTAACACATGTATGCATGTATTGAACGTATGGATGACACACTTTCGCAAATCCAGCTAGAGCTTCTGTCATTCTTCATCATAGAGCTTTGTCTGGTCGAGTACAAAATGCTCAAGTTCCGCCCTTCTCTGTTGGCTGCTGCTGCAATCTACACTGCTCAGTGTTCTCTTAGAGGGTTCAAGTATTGGACGAAAACTAGCGAGATGCACACTGCCTATTCAGAGGAGCAACTCCTGTGAGTTCCCGTCTGTGTCCCTTGTTCTTCATTTGATTGATCTCATTGTGTTCCTCCTGGATTCCAGTTCTAACATTTTTATTTCATTTATTGATGGTCGTGTCTCAGCGAGTGCACTCAGCTAATGGTGGATTTCCACCAGAAGGCTGGTCTGGGGAAGCTGACTGGGGTACACAGGAAGTACAGCACCTTCAAATATGGACACACAGCAAAATCAGCACCAGCTCTCTTTTTGATGAACACTGGTCTCCAGTGCTAATTCTCCGCTGGCGAATCCTAACTTTAACATGACCGATTACATGATGAACCCAGTGCTGGGTGCAACAGAAGTTGCAGAAGCTGCAATCGAACTGTGGGAAGTCAGTTCATCCCATGAATTCTTCTCTTATTTTGACTATGGGAAGTCAGTTCAGCTGATAACTTTAAGTGCTTGTTCTGCTTTCTACATTTGATGTTGAGACTACTGTGCAAAGATTTCATTGCCGAATGGAAAAATAAGATAATTGGCTTTTGTAAAATGTCTTCGACTTTACAGATACATCTTGCTATTTTACTGCGAACAACAATTAGCAGGAAATATGAACAAATGACCAAGTGATTTTAGGTTGCTTCTGATGAAATTTAGTTCTTGTTGCTCGTTTGTTTGGATGATTAGTTTTTGTTTGCTTTGTTCTGAGCTAATGAATGGCCATTGATTGCATCGTCCCGCTTCTAAGAGAAATGGGTTCTCTCTCTCCTCATATATAAACACATATTTTGATAGAGAAGTATAGTATTTATATAATATATTATGGCCTATGGACCGATCTATCTTTATGGATGGGTCTAATTATAGTATTTATATAATATATTATAGTATTTTAAGTAATACTAACATAATATTTTTATATTTTGTTATGATATTTTTATCTTATATCATTTTTAATAATACTATAATACAGTATAAAATATTATGATCGGATCGATTCACCCGATAGTTCTAAAGGTATTCCTGATATTAAACAAAAAGATTGCATTATTAGAGAATTATGAAAATAGGATAACTTTTCTTGAGAAATCATCCTAAACTTAAAATAATTTGTGATGGTAAAGAATAAGCTTGCGTATTTATTGTCTAAAGGGAAAGCTTTAATCTTTTTTCCCCAAAAACAACCTCGCATGTTTGTCTGGGTATGTCCACCACGCTTTAACAATCGCGCAACGTCACATCTTTATGATTCGCACAAGGACCAACATCAGGGACGTATAAGCGCGCGATCACATTTCTTTAGGATTCGCGCGTGGGTCGACACCCAAGGCAAGAACCCAAGGAGATTGGACCGTCCCCTATAACTATCGGCCCATCACCACTCTCTCCCGTATTCTTGTCCTCGGGGAGCGGGATGGAGAACGCTGCGGTTCTCAGGGAGTGGTTCGAGCGAGTCGATTCCAACCGCTCCGGCAACATCACCGCCCTCCAGCTCCAGGTCCGTCTTCTCCCTCTGCTCTCTCTCCCCAAACCGCAATCGCCTCCTCCTTTTTCGCTTCTTTTTCGTACCCTAATCTTGATCCTGGATGAACCGCCGATCAGGGAGCACTCTCCGTCGGAAACCTCGACTTCTCCCTCTCCATCGTTCAGCAGATGATCAGGTCCTCATCTCGTCCCCTTTGGTTCTAGTGCCTCGCTGGGACTTGGTATTGATGTTGCTTGATTTGCAGAATGTACGATTTCGATGGAAATGGGACTATGAACTTTGAAGGTGGGTTTGATCCATGCACGAGTAGAATTTCCTTTGCCTTTTTTTCTGAATTGATTAAACTGGTCATTTCCATGGGTAGAATTTTGTTTAGTTCCATGAGATGTTCTACTGCTTAGCATCTAATTCGATACTGCAGTGACCAACTCTGGGATCATGCTTAGTCATTTAATTATCAATTTATTCACAAAATCTTTAGGGACACACAAGTCAGTTGTGTTTTCAATGCTGATATGGTCTCACTTACAATTTATATGGCTTGTAAAGGGACACTTTGTAGTTACATGGATGTAGACGAGGACCCTTTGTAGTGCATGAGTGAGAAAGGATTTTTGGTGGTTGTTGGGTTCTTAGAATCAGGATCGAGTTTGATCGGTGTACAATATGAATTGTAATGAATCTAATATGATTGCATATGTCACAATCAGATTGTTATGGATCAGAATAAAATATGTCCATAGTTGATCTGAATGAGAATCAGAGTTATGTTACAATTTGTTGTTACCCCCAAATCATTACCTTGCAATTTTGCTCCATAGCTTACCACTATCAGATTAAATTCTATACTTATTTGATGTATACATTTTAAAAATATGCAAGACTATATATTTAACTTGCCTTCGAACAAATCGGATTAATGTTGATTATATCTGGCCTAATTATTGGTTGGAGAATTGGATCGATCAGTTATAGGGTCAGATCCATATTCATGTTATGCTGAGTTAGATTTTGTATTCAATCGGGTCATATCTGATCAATTGACAAGGCTACTCAGAATTTGAGGATGTTAAATTTCACAAACTACTGAATTTATTTTTTATATTCATATGTTGATAAGATGTTGCATATTTGAGTATGCTAAATTGTACAAACTACTGAATTTCTTTATTGTATTCAAATGTTGATAAGATGTTCCATAAGTTCCATGGTCTTGCTCACTTAATGTTGATATGGCATATTGATGTTTGAAAAAGTTCCTTCATTAATTGAATCCATGATGTTTGTTTCGCAGAGTTTGTTGCACTTAACAAATTTCTTCTCAAGGTTAGTTCTTCCATCAGTTGAGTTTACAAAAAGTTTATGGTAGAATTTCTATGATGTGAAATTGGACAGGACATAAGGCTTTATATCCGCAATCCTATGTTTTTGTTCATGCGTTTTATTTCTATGTATCGTAACATGTATCGGACCTCTTTTGCTGATTTTTAGCATCATTAGGCAAAGAGGGACAGTATCTTGTGGAAAATATAGTTAAAACAATTTTTTTTCTAATTCTAATTATTAGCTTCCCTACATTGGCATGGTTTGATCTGAACTGTAGGACATGCTTGACTCATCTAAGGAGACCATTCCTGTTTCTGATAAACCTTAGGAAAGGACTTCTAAATCAGATGGTTACCACTCGCCTAACTTGAACTAACAGGGTGTTTCAGTAGAGTTATTGGGCTAGATTACTAAATCATGACTTATATAAAATCATGTGTACTGGCTTTGTTTACTAATTAAAATTGTTTTGGAGTGGTTTACCTCTTTCCTGCTTTACTAAAGAAGAACTTGTCCAATGCACACTCTCCCCAACGTGGGGTTTGAGGATAGTTACTTGATGCAGTTAAGCTACCTTGGCACCAAGGCTTGCCCTCTGGTTTCCTGCTTTACTAACTTATCATTTTTTACATTTCATATTGTTTTCTTTTACAATTAATGTGAATATATATTTTTTTTGTAGTTTTGACTTGACAATGAATGTCATGTACTTCAATGAACATTTTGAGTGCTATGGTTTCATTAATTTTCGTGAAAATCTCCAACTTAGTTCATGACAACAGATTATCAAATCAAAGTTTTAAGCCTTTGATTATGAAATGATAAACAACAATAAAATAAATCCACTAGTTTTTCTTCAACGGATCTTCATTTATTGAATCAAAATTGGGTCTATTATTAGAAACCTTGATGTTGCTATTTATTCGATATTTTCTTTACTACTAATAAGTGAGCATAATTTATTGTTGTTTTGGGCTAAATTATCTTGTCTAGGCTGCATATCTAACAGAAGATGTATTGTGTCTCAAATATGCCTCATGACCTTTTTGTGTATTATTTGGGAACATCATAAAGTATTTTTATTGGCTTTGGTGCTTCTGTGTTGATTGGCATTGTTTCAAATCTCTTGTAGGTCCAAAATTTATTCACAGTTCTTGAAAGGTATTGTACTTACCCTTCTACATGCTGTTCCCTTTTCAGTACTGTGGTTGGCAAAGCCTTAACTGGCCATGCTATAATTTTTTCAGTCCCATTGTAATAATATTGCAAGCTGCTTTGATTCTCCTAGATCTCTTATTGGGTCCATTAATTTGCTGCAAAATACTGGCCTTTTTTAGAAGAAAAGTTTATAGCTTTTTTTCTGTACTTGTCAGGTTCTTTATACTGTGGTGAATAAGTAATATGGTTTTAAGTACAATAAGGTATGATGAACTGTGGTAACCTACACATATGTTCTTTGAGCTGTTTTAGGTGCAAAAATTGAAATTCAGTTCTTTAATCAAATTATCAATAATGGAAAAACTCTTAAATGGCTTGTTCCAGTAAATTTCTTTTGGGTTTTAGATGTTTCCGTGTTGGAAGGTAAAAGAGCTTCCATGTACAAGACAACAAGGTCGAAAACTTAGAGGGAAAATAAAAAAATCATTTCGCACTCTATGTTTTTAGGCATTTGATGCAGTGCATAATGAGCATTGAATGCTCCCAAGTTCCAAGATAATATATTCCAAGTTCAATCCTATCAAATTTCAAGAAAATGGTTCGTATCTTGAGATAATTATGAAAATTCAAAACCATCAAAGTACAATGCATCATGAATTTAATATGTATTGTAATTTGTGCTTGATTTATAGCAAATTACGACTTATTAATTAGGTGGTTGAGGGATTCAATGTATAAGGGATCTATAAAAGGGGAAAGAAGAAAGATTGGTGGGGCATTCTAGTTTTTGAAACCTTATCAAACTTTTGTATTTTGAGTTATTAGCTCTTAGTATCTTTTGAAATGAAGAGAGTTCTCTTTATCCTTCTATATCTCACTTCATTTCTCACTCTCTCCTCTCGTTTATTTGTTTCACATCATTTGGTATTAGAGCCTTGCTACGCTCTTGGAGTACTTCATTCTTATGGTAACTA